AAATAACACACTGTCCTCAATTCTTCTTGTGGTGATATCAACCTGCACAACAGTTGACACTGATCCATAAATTACGCACAACTTTATGCAGCAACAAATTTATTGTCTGCATCTTGTGGAGCTGAGGAATCATCACAGGTCAGCTGTTCTGAATTAATCTGCTGAGTTGACAAAGTTTTTTTTCTCAGTGAGAATTAAAATGTTTCTTAGACAATTCACACACACTCGTGTGTACGGTGGCCCAGTGGTGTCATGTCAAAAAAAAAAAGTAACAAATACAAAAAACCAAAACTATCTGCACTTCTGCAACAGTCTATTTTTAATGTGTTCAGCATTTTTACACATGGAGTACTATAAGTTTTCCTTACATTATTACAGTGGCATCAGAGGTATTTGTAATGTTGGGGGGGGGACACACTGGTGGGGGGGTCTGGGGGTCTTCCCCCAGAAAATTATGAAGTAAATGCCACTTCCTACATTCTGGTGTATTTTAAACAGATTGTTAAACAGACTTTTACCTACACAAGAAACCTCTTATGCAAGTATTCTGTAGTGTCATGGTTTTAGAAAGTTTCTTGACCCAAATGCAAACACTCCAGGAAACAACAAAGTTTTAAGAAGTTTATTTTAAATGACAGACATCTTGGTCCATCATGGTCCTGCAAACACAGGGCAGGGGGTCAGGAACACTAGTGGAGGACGAAGGGTGATGAGATCAGGAAGGTGTATGTAGTAAACAGAACAGGAGCTTAGCTTACTATGAAGATGAAGCAGGTCAGCCAGGGAGAGGTGAGTGGGATCCTAGGGGTTGAGTCCGTGAGCCAAGGAATGATGAGCAGGTTGGAGGGCAGACATGTTACGTGCTTGAGGAGAGTCCTGAGATGGCAGCCGTGGGTGGAGAAGTCCAAAAAGCACAGAGAGATGAAGATGATCTTTAAGGTTGGAGGACCTCAGAGGAACCGGTCCAAACCATCAAAGGGGTAACCTTTTAGGAACACAAACAGGAGTAAGTTACCTCAAAGGTCTAGGCACAAGAGAATTTAGAGAAAAACTCAGAGAGTACTCTAAGGGCTTGAGGTTACCACAAGAATTAACACTCAGGCATCGAAGGGCTGACTGCAGACTCTTCTTATCCTCCTCTTGATGAAGGTAGATGAATTACAGGTGTGGGGCTTGCACACCTGCTGGAGATTCTGCCCTCCTGCAGGCTGTGCTCCAGGAGGACATCTAGTGGATGAATAGTGGAACNGCTTTGTGTACACACGCAGGGCGTGCCCACCCTCGCCAGTGTGGATGTTATAAAACATCACTTTTTAAAGTCTGTATTTGGCTGCTGCAGATAACAGAGCAGGCAGGAGGGGAAGAGGACAGGGAGAAGAGTGGTGAACTTATTTCTAATTTTATCTGACTTATTTAATTTTATTTTATTGTTTTCATCGTCCTGCAGGCTCTGAGAGAAAATTAATTTGAAGCTGAGTTTTTTTTATAAAAACCATTAGATTACTCTAAATGTCTGTAAACCTGCAAAATGAGGGGAAATCTGTGTCAATTACAGACAATCTGTTCACGTGAGCAGCTGTCAGTCAGCAACTGTCATCCTACAGACGCACAGCGGAGAGTGTCTGAACCAATCACTTTGTTGGCATTGATCAGCTGACTGATTTAAATACATCTTAACATTCATGAGGTATTTTACATTGACTGTTTATGGCTGAGTGTGGGCGTGTAGAGGGCAGAATCTGAGGCGGGACCTTGTGCGCAAACTCTGAAGTGCGGCTGTGATTTATAAAGTGAATGTGCGCAGAAACGTGCGTACGCACGGTTTTATAAATCTGAATTTTTTTTGGCATACACCATTTTCGCCTTTTTCCCCGTACGTTCAGTTTTAGAATGGTTTCCACGCAATCTTTTATAAATCTGACCCCAGGACTTTTAATTCTGAGGGCCCTGGGCCCTCATGCATAAAGGAGTGTGCAGCTTTCACACTAAAAGTTGGCATATGGACAAATTTAGAAAAGTGTGCCGCACAATTTTTTTGGATGTATAAAACTGTGCGTACGCATGTTCCTGTGCACCTTTCTTTTATACATCCCAACGAATGTGGAACTGAGCACACCTGAGAAACCTCCCCTGACACGCCTCCATTTAAATATGTAAAATAGATGTAAATGTGTCCAGCTTGTGAGATTCTCCTCAGACTGTCCTCTCTGTGGGATCAGAAATGATTTTTAGATGATGGAAAATTATACATTAAATGGAGAATGAGTGAGAAAACTGTCTAAATAAGTAGTGGGGTGTAAAAATGTGTTTGCCACAAAGGTGTGTGGGTGTTGGTGTGTACGCGCGTGTGCTGCAGCGGCACGTGAGGCTGAGAGGCATTTCCACCTTTACACATCTTTAATAAATGACCGTAAACACAGAGAAACTTATCAGTTTGGTAGAACTTAG